TTTTAGTCCCATCTTTGGGCGAGCTCTGGTCGAAGTATGGTAGATTGTCCCTAATTGCTCAGATTCTGCACGAAAATGAACAATTTGGAAGCGGAGATATTTATATATTATATTATTATATAACTATATTACTCTATTATTATATTATTATATTATTATATTATTACATTATTATATTATTACATTATTACATTATTATATTATTATACTATTATACTATTATATTATTATATTAATGTATTATTATATTATAATATTATTATATTATTTACATATTATTCGAGCCGATTAACGATTGTAATTCAACAGATATTGTAATGAATTTATAACAATTTATCATAACTAGACTGCAGACTTCATGAATTTGTAATAAAAATGAGCAGATCAAATACAAAGCAACAAGAAACATTTGAAGAATTTAAAAATACTATTGCATTCTTTCTAACTCAATAAAATAATTAGAGAGAGGGGGGGGAGGAAGGGACAAAGAAATGTCCACGTATTAACTGCATCTTGCAACGAATGCGAACGATTTTTAATTTCCCTAAAAATCCGCAGTCTAATAATAACCGATGCGCTCCGATCGTTAGTCATCAATCAGACTAATTTTCGCCCGACTCCGACTGGAAGGGAAATCTCGTGTCCAATCAATCTGAACCCTGAAGATTCGAACACTAAATCGCAGATATCTGTGCAAATTAATCAACGATTGAAACAGCAGATCGAAGAAGACACGAAGAAGCAGATCAGCCGGAAGGAATTCGAGCCGAAAAAATTCCGAGCGGAAGAGCTCCGGCACAATGAGCGTTTCATCGCGAGTATTTCTGCGTTCGGTCGACCAAAGTCTTCCGGTTCTCGAGGCATTCTGGGGCGGAAAGGCAGCGTTCCATTGGAGGCCGCGGTTGAAGAAGACTCCGCGTTGCGTCGGGGGTTGCGGCGGACGTGAAAGGGAGCTCGAAGAAGATGAACGGGAGAAGAGCAGATACGAGAGAAAGAGAGAGATAGAGAGAGAAAGAGAGAGAGATAGGAAGAGATAGGAAGAGATAGGGAGAAAGAAAGAGAGAGAGAGGAGAGAGGATTCACAGTGAGGCATAGCGGGGTACCACTTAGCAGCTCGACAAACACGCGGTACGCGGAAAAAAGGCTGGAAAAGAGGGTGGAACGGGGGCGGGGAGGCTGCCAGAGAGGAAGGGCGGCGGCCGCGTCTCCTGATTTTGCATTTTTCATTTAGTCCCTGTCCCCCTTTCGCTCGAGCGCATTGGCAAGTGCGCGTGATTCACGATGCACTCGCCGCGGATCGCTGGTTAGCATAGAAACCGGTAATTCGTGACAACAATGCAAACACTGTGTCGCGAGACCGGCTCTTTGTCCGCGGCACCCTCCACGAATTTTTGCTTTCTCGAGGGCCGAACGACCGCTCAAGACGGGCAGGAACCTCCATCTTGCTCTGCAAATTTTGTTCCGCTCAGAAATCCGACCTCAAAACGAATCTACTTTCGCCCTTGACACACCCCTTTTTACATTGAATCGTTCTTATGCATTCGATCGACATTGTCGGGCGTCTTTGAAAAAATCTGCTCTGTAAAGAGCATTTAACATTTGCTGATAAGATTTTGGCAATAAGAATACAACGAGAATTTTTAGGATCTCACGGAGAGATTCTTTAAAATATAAAACGAAGTTGAAAATAAGTGGCAGCTGTAGGGGCATCGACAATACAGTACAGGAAGCTTTCGAATTGCCTTCGAATTGTGTCATGTGGCCCCGGAATTGTCTTCGAATCGTGTAAGGTGGCCTCTGAATTGCCTTCGAATCGTGGAAGCCCCCGAATTGCCCCCGAATTGCTTTCGAATTGCCTTCGAATCGTGTCATGTGGCCTCGGAATTGTCTTCGAATCGTGTAAGGTGGCCTCTGAATTGCCTTCGAATCGTGGAAGCCTCCGAATTGCTTTCGAATTGCCTCCGAATCGTGTAAGGTGGTCTCTGAATTGCCTTCGAATCGTGGAACCCTCCGAATTGCCCTCGAATCGAGTTACATGGCCTCCGAATTGCCCTCGAATCGTGGCAAAAAAAATCGGAAATAAAAAAGTTACGTCATATTTTTTATTCGCAGCCTTTTCTCGCCGACTGCCCCGAGTTTCTATAAAAAAAAAACGATCCGCAATGCCCAAAGAATCGCGACTTAGTATTCTCGGATTTGCCGAATTCAATTCCAGCCTCCAAACATTTCCGAACAGAAATTACTGCAACTGCAACATCCACGAACAAAGCGGAACCAACCATACGTCTCGCCGTGAAATCAGCGGCCCATCGAGTCCGGCAACGCCGTTGCACGCTCCTCGAAACAGATCTCGATAAAAAATGAATCCCGAATATGTTCGATGAATCCGCTCGGCCGGGAACGTATTTCTCGCGCGGCGTAGATAAATCCGTGGCGCGTCGAAAAATCGGGCTCGAGGTTCGAGTGGCGGCCGCCATCTTGGCGCCTCATTACAAAACCAATTACAGCGGCATGGAACGGATTTCCATCGTTCGGGCATCGCGATCATGTATTCGGGCCGACGATTTCCATCGGGCGGGCTCCTCGCTTTTTGTTATTTTCGCTTCGGGCTGCTCTCTCTCCCGGTGCTCTCTCGAGGGGCGAGAAAAACGGGGAGGATCAGAAAATCGAACGCGACGCGCATAAAAGGCCGATCCCGACGTCGAAATGTCGGACATGGAATTCACGGTTCGTACACGGCGCGCCGTCTTCCGTCGCAGATTTTTCAGCGGCGCTATTGATCATTCCGACGACACGGTGTAAGATTGAAAACGTGTCTCGGCTCGCGCCGCGCCGAGCCGAGCCGAGCCGGCCAATTTCCGCCGTGTCCTCGTTCCCGAGCACATCTCCTTCTTAATTTCGACAGTCGGCCGCGATTTTTGCCGGAATCGTGACCGGAATGCCCGGCGCTCGGTCTTTGTAACGAGCCGGGTTCCGTCGCAAACGATCCGAGAAAATCGGGCCTCGCTGCGAGCGCCTCCAGCGTCCGATCAGTGGCCGACTCGCGTCACTCGCGTCGGAACGCTCGCTTCTAATTGCTTCGTCGAAGAATTCCGGCGAAATTCCGCGTTCGATAACTCTTCGCGGTCGAATAAGCGACGCGAAGGCGCCGTTAGAAAATTGCCTGATAATTTCTAACATTTCGGAACAATTTCAACGTTGCCAAATTCATTTGAATGGAATTGAAGATTTTTGTGTAACACGATTCTCGAAGTTTCTTAATCTTCACAATGTTTGATGTGTCACTCGTTTTTCTTGCAAACGCAAGATATATGCAGGGTCTCCCAAAAATGTCTCGCAATCCGAGAGTGGAGGGTTCCTCGGGTCATTCGAAGCAACTTTTTCCTTTACAAAAATGTTCTCCGAGGCACCGTTAACGAGTTATTAACGAGAAACAGTGACCAATGAGAGGCGAGCTCGGCTGGCGCGAGGCGACCGAGCCAATGAGCGGAACTGGGCTTCGTGCGCTGATTGGCTGGGCCGCCTCGTGTCAGCCGTACTCGATTCTTATTGGTCACTGTTTTTCGTTAATAACTCGTTAACGGTGCCTCGGAGAACATTTTTGTAAAGGAAGAAGTTGCTTCAAATGATCTGAGGAACCCGCCAGGAACAAAACTGTGAAAAGCGCGACTGTTGCGCACAAAATTCAGTCAGAAAATTCGATTTCATACGTATAAAACGCACCGAGTCGTCTAAAATAGAAATACTACAGCTCGGAGAAACCATCTTGGATTTTCAGTTAAAAATGTCTCCGGTTGCAAAGGTGCTTTCGAAACGCGCGGATTCCGTCGGGTTAAGGGGGGAGAGGAATTTCGGAAAAGTTCCGGGCGCGTCTCGAAAGCCGATAGAATCCTGTGAAAATATTCCGCGAATTCGGAGAAAATGTCTTTCGCCGGTCCTCGAGAATGTTCGAGCGGATCCGCGGGGCCGTCGTCGAACGCGAAGAGACGAGATGAAATCGCGTCATTTCGTCGTCGATTTTCGTCGTTTCTTCGCGCCGAATTCTGCCGGGCGACCGCGATATCCGCGGCCATCGCCGGCCCACCCTAATTGGCCGGCCGTCTATTTAATTGCGTTAATTTCGGAATCACCGCAGCGGCCGCGGCTGGACTCGATTTACCGGATAATGTGTTTATACGGGGGCGGGGTTTCGTTAATTACGCAGCCGCCTCCCTCTCTCACCCCCCTATTCTCTCGTCTGCTCCTCTCGCGCAGTCTTCCTTCAATTTTTATCATTTTGCCGCGGATAGGGGACGCGGATCCCGTTTGAATGCCGGCGAGCAACAACGAGCCACGGGAAAGCCGGCTCGCGGAGAAAGGGACCGCCGCCGTGGGAAAAAGGGACCAGCAAGAGTCAACGAGACGGCGCTTCATTTCATTTCCCGTGGAAAATTGTCCGATATACCTGGTGGCGCGTTAATTCATCGGCCGCGATCGCGGCACCGCGATCAAACGCGATAGAAATTGCGCTTCAAAGAAGACAATGCTTCGAGGGGGCTTCGAGGGCTTCGAGGTTCGCTTTTAGGTCTTCGAGATTTTCTGCCGGTTTTTATACCTTTAGACCCTGTCTATCTTTCTGCAAATTGAACACATTCTACCCGAACTGCGACGAACTGTATTAATTATTTATTTATTTTACTTTCAATCTAATAGATTGTGAAGACGGTGTAACACGATTCTTGAAGTTCCTTGATTCTTCCAATGTTTTGTGCGTCACTCATTCGTGTTACAAGCGCGAAATATAAATTATCAAAAAATATGCTTCCCCTTTTAATAATTTTAACAAGCCGCACACATTAGAAGGCTATTCTTCAATTTTTCCAGCGTCTTCGCATGTCTTTACAATGTTTTTTTTTTAATTTCATTTTATTTTAGTTAGTCAAATCAAATAGTTAGTCAGTGAAAAAAAACATGAATGAAACACGGAGCAGCTTGTTGTGAAAAATGTTCGACGGACTCACCTGTGCATCTGCGAGGATGCGTCGCATCAAGGCCAAGGTGGGGTGCGTTGTAAGATCATCCTGAAGGGCGAGTGCCTCGCCTTCTTTGTTCAAGCGGTTTAGTGTGTTGAGGGCTGAAACAGATCATCGAACTGTCAGAAGAGGATTCGGCAAATTGTTCCATCGATTAGTTGACGAGAAAGCGTGGTATCGATTATCAGTTAATATTTGTACAGGTTAAGTGCAAGGTGTAGGTCAGAGTTCGGCAGAAAGTAATTTGTTTAATGAGTGACGAATTTTTGCCCAATTATTGTAAATTAGTTATAGTAACCAACGAGTTACAATTCTAATCTATGATAATTTATAATAAGCAACGAGTTATAACTCTAATGTATAATTACTTATAATAAGCAACGATTTATAACTCTAATCTATAATTACTTATAATAAGCAACGAGTTATAACTCTAATCTATAATAAGCAACGAGTTATAACTCTAATGTATAATTACTTATAATAAGCAACGATTTATAACTCTAATCTATAATTACTTATAATAAGCAACGAGTTATAACTCCTGTCTCTTATACACATCTAGATGTGTATAAGAGACAGCTCTAATCTATAATAAGCCTGTCTCTTATACACATCTATGTATAATTACTTATAATAAGCAACGATTTAGATGTGTATAAGAGACAGCTCTAATCTATAATAAGCCTGTCTCTTATACACATCTATGTATAATTACTTATAATAAGCAACGATTTAGATGTGTATAAGAGACAGCTCTAATCTATAATAAGCCTGTCTCTTATACACATCTATGTATAATTACTTATAATAAGCAACGATTTAGATGTGTATAAGAGACAGCTCTAATCTATAATAAGCCTGTCTCTTATACACATCTATGTATAATTACTTATAATAAGCAACGATTTAGATGTGTATAAGAGACAGCTCTAATCTATAATAAGCCTGTCTCTTATACACATCTATGTATAATTACTTATAATAAGCAACGATTTAGATGTGTATAAGAGACAGCTCTAATCTATAATAAGCCTGTCTCTTATACACATCTATGTATAATTACTTATAATAAGCAACGATTTAGATGTGTATAAGAGACAGCTCTAATCTATAATAAGCCTGTCTCTTATACACATCTATGTATAATTACTTATAATAAGCAACGATTTAGATGTGTATAAGAGACAGCTCTAATCTATAATAAGCCTGTCTCTTATACACATCTATGTATAATTACTTATAATAAGCAACGATTTAGATGTGTATAAGAGACAGCTCTAATCTATAATAAGCCTGTCTCTTATACACATCTATGTATAATTACTTATAATAAGCAACGATTTAGATGTGTATAAGAGACAGCTCTAATCTATAATAAGCCTGTCTCTTATACACATCTATGTATAATTACTTATAATAAGCAACGATTTAGATGTGTATAAGAGACAGCTCTAATCTATAATAAGCCTGTCTCTTATACACATCTATGTATAATTACTTATAATAAGCAACGATTTAGATGTGTATAAGAGACAGCTCTAATCTATAATAAGCCTGTCTCTTATACACATCTATGTATAATTACTTATAATAAGCAACGATTTAGATGTGTATAAGAGACAGCTCTAATCTATAATAAGCCTGTCTCTTATACACATCTATGTATAATTACTTATAATAAGCAACGATTTAGATGTGTATAAGAGACAGCTCTAATCTATAATAAGCCTGTCTCTTATACACATCTATGTATAATTACTTATAATAAGCAACGATTTAGATGTGTATAAGAGACAGCTCTAATCTATAATAAGCCTGTCTCTTATACACATCTATGTATAATTACTTATAATAAGCAACGATTTAGATGTGTATAAGAGACAGCTCTAATCTATAATAAGCCTGTCTCTTATACACATCTATGTATAATTACTTATAATAAGCAACGATTTAGATGTGTATAAGAGACAGCTCTAATCTATAATAAGCCTGTCTCTTATACACATCTATGTATAATTACTTATAATAAGCAACGATTTAGATGTGTATAAGAGACAGCTCTAATCTATAATAAGCAACGAGTTATAACTCTAATCTATAATTACTTACAATAAGCAACGAGTTATAGCTCTAATCTATAATTACTTACAATAAGCAACGAGTTATAACTCTAATCTATAATAATATATAACAACTAACAACTTATAATTGTTAATCATTAATCAGATTACTTTTTGCCCAACTCCAATGTAGATCAATGTTAGTAGAACGCTTCTATCACAGAACGATGCTTCAATTAACAAGAACCATCCCTGTCAAATACAAAATGGTACTTCCAATCAGTGTTAATTTCGCACACAGAGTTATCAATCAGAAAATAAACCTCCCACCATTATTAGCACGGTAAAGCATATTTCGTACAATAAGGGAGAACGACGGAGTAATTTCTTAGGTACGACTGTCATCCGATGTAACAAAGAGCCTGAAGTCTTGCCCATGATAACAACGCCAAGATCCCCCTCGCGACGCAAGCTCTCTCCTCTCTTTGATAATTATCGGATAGATTGCATTGTTTGTTAATTCTACAGCCACCGGCAACACGATTCACGCGTATTTACAGATGCAAACAACGAACCTATCAAGTCAGTCCTTACTGCGACACGTCGCACGCATCGAATTTGCATAATTGCAGTTCGCAGCGTCTCTCGCGAACGTCGGCCCTTTGGCTACGAGCGCAACAACGCAGCGGCCCGATAAAGGAAGCACGAAATCCAAGGAAGAACTTTCGCGGCAGCTTCGAAGCTGCCGAAGCTCTTCGAAGTCGAGCTCGGAGAGGGGGAGGGGGTAGAAAATAATTAGCACCCTCGTATTCGCGAATAAGGCAGGCGCGGACGAAAGAGCTCGGAAGACGACGAGATTTCGGAACGCCGTTGCAACAGCAAAAACCGAGTTCCTCGCCGATCTACGGGCCGGGTGACACCCTCGAAATAAAGTATGCTTCCGCGGGAACCAGATAAATCCAGATTTATCCGCGACGAATCACGGCGACACCCCCGGAAACTCGCCGTCAGGAGACACCGGGCCCAGTTACACCGAAATTACCGGCGCGGCAATTTCCGCGGCACAATGCGTACGGAGCATTTCGATACGCGGCGACCTATTAATTACACTAATCTTGGCCTCGGCGCCGCGCGAGGCTAATACATAATTTGCCGGAGACCCGCATATTCTCTCGTTAACCGGCTACACCTGGCCGGGATCGCGGGATTCGGGATGCGTCGGGGGATGCGTGCCGCTAAGCTCGTCGGATGGACTGCCTTGATAGACAGGCCGGTTCGCCGCGCGTTAAAACTTCGATTCAACCCTTTGCCCTACAACCACGCCTGAGAGACGGGGCCAGGAACGATTACCGCGTGTGAGAGACGGGGCCAGGAACGATTACCGCGTGTGAGAGACGTGGTCAGGAAATCGGGCCAGAAATGGGAGCCGTGGCGCGTCGATCGAGTCAAATGTGAACGCAACTAGTTAGGATAAATTAGGTTGACTCGTGTTGGACTAAGGGATACGTGTTCTCTGTTTTTTTAATTTTTGTCATTTAATTGTTTTATCAGGAGCTAAAGGAGACGGCGCAGCAACCAGCCAGCTGCGATTTTTGCGATCTGTAATCGTTCAGAGCTCGCACGAAAGTCGACCGATTTCGGTGAAATTTTTAGCATACGTACAACTTACCGAGATCTATACGGAACAGATTTTTTAAATTTTCGTTGTAGGCTCGGATAAGAAAGTTAAAAAATAAGAGCGTTTTATTTTCTTTTGTCATTCTAAGCAACAGCGACCTTTAAAAAAAGCATCCTAGTTATGGTCTAAGTAGACTGATCGCTCTGTCATCTAAACAAAAATTCAAGTTATTTAGTCCGATTCTAAAAAAGTTATTGCGTTTCGAAAAGGGAGTCACTCTATTTGTGATACACGTTCTTGAAACCTAAATCGTAGGGCAAAGGGTTAAACAACTGTCATCATTCGCAACGAAAAACGCGAGCTGTTTCAGCTTCGAAATCAAGGCATCTTTTGCAACGCATGCAATTCGAATCTTGCGTTCCTTTTTTTTTATCGCGTCCGTATGCAATTTAACCTTGACATAACGTAATTAACGCAATGAACATAGCAATTTAACGTTTACCAATTCTTCAAGCATGAAACAATTTAATCGCGCAAATAGACCCGGCGGATCCGTGGGACCTCCGCGCTCGCTTTCAGCCGACAAGATGGCCGCCGCAGTCGCCGCCGGTCTCGACTCGTTCGTCTCGCGTTACCTTCGCCGAGTCGTTCCGGCGATGGGGATAATTGAATTCTCGCAGCACCGTGCTCGTGGCGCGAACGCAGAAAGGCCCGAGGGGTGCCAAACTGTTATCGACAAGTTCGTCGGAGAAGCTCGTTTCGGGCGCAGCCCAGGGACGCCGTATCCCTCAACCGGGTCCTTCCTGGCCGCGTCGCGATACATCGCGTCGCACTTCCAAGTGCTCTTTGATGTAGATCGGCCGGGAAACTTCCGACAATCGAACTCCTCCACCTGTCTCGATCCCGGCATCGAGCCGGCCACCGACGCGGATCTTTATGCAACGCCGGCGAAATCGGTGCCGCACCCCGCGCGGCGACGATCGCACCCTTTAGCGTCCCGTGATTTCGGCATCGACCGATTTCTTTACGGCTCTCTTCTGCTGCCGATTCTTATATCGGCCTTCCCTGCGATTTTTATTCCGCTTTTACGGCTCCCGGCGATCGGTTCTGCGCTACTTTATCGGCGCTCGAGTTTTACGGTTGCCGTACATCGCTTCGCGTTGTTCTTGGCGCGATCGGGTCGCAGGAGCTTTGATTTCGATGATCGCTGGACTGCCGGGACCGTCTTCGCTTTATCCGAGGTTCACTCTATTTCACCGGTTTGCCAACGGTTTTGCTTTTTAATCGATTCCCCGCGACTGTTCCGCGTTTATCAACCGTTCGCACTCGACAGAGCATTTTGTGTTTAGGATATCGAATATTGTGGGGCTCGTGCGACGATTACAGTTGCAACAGTTTTTCAAAACAGAAACGGAGACGA